ATTCTTGATAAAATATCTTAAAAAATCTGCAATGTTACTGGTCTCCACCTGGCATCTCGATTTCAGTTACTTTCCGTAACGTAGCTCCCCTGTACCTTTCTATAAATATTTTCATGATAATTATGCTGATGAGCTTCTGATGACCTTTCCTTTTTGGCACCTAGAATTTAATTATTTAAACGCAGTACTAGATTGGCGGCAAGGTCTCATCATTTTACAATTGAATTAGCTGGATGTAACCGTAAGTTCTATGCTAACAGTTTCTTCTCTGCGCTTCTTGCCTCATATTAACTTTTTTTCTCCAGAGTACTTTCAAATGTTGATCCATTCATTTTCAAGGATCGTTCTGTGTGTAGTTAAGCAACTGGGTTTTAAATCCCGTGTTCTAATGTTTGTTGGACCCAATTTCAAGTCATATAAACGGTCAAACTGAATTTTTTATGTGTGTGTGTTTTATCATTCATATATATATATATATATATATATATATATATATATATATATATCTTACTTATTATAAAACGCAGATTGTGTGTGTGTGTGTGTGTGTGTAACGTTTATATGTTGGATCGAATTTCCTACATTTTTTAGCCGATTTCAACAAAACTTCACAGGACTACATAAAATTACCTTGTGGTGGTTCTAACGGGGCCGAAAATGGGAAACATACAGTTGTTTTTTAATAAAATCAATTTGAAAACACGATTAAGACACACCGTGAGAATGAAAGGAGGACAACTCACCCACGAAAATGTAAACAAAAGAGCATAGCATGATGAAAAAAAAGCCCAACTTGACGAAAACAATTTTATCGTCTAATGTTCATATTATTATTAAAGAGGAAAGATCAAAGTATTTTGGGGGTATTTTTTTTAATTTTTTAATCGTTCCTAGTACGTCTGAAATTTTCGTTAAAAATATTGTTTTTTTTTTGGTCAAAAAAAAGGGAAGATAATCAATCATTTTCACTCATTTTTTTCGATTTGATAAAAAAGATTAAAATCTTACTTTGATATTCTTTTAAAAATCAATTATCATTTTTTCAAAACTGATTTTAATAAAAACAGAAATTATACTGTTTATTATTTATTTTCAAATTACATTTTCGGCGCAGAAGTTGTTAAGCTTGGTTCAAAATATATTTTGAACCATGCTTAACTTAGCTTCTGCGCCGAAAAAATGTAATTTGAAAATAAAACAAGAGGTCATAACCTTTCGCGTCGCTTGACGATTGACGAAAGGCACATTCATGACGTTTAGATAACTTACGGGAGGAAAATTCTTTCTACGGATGGAAGGAAGTGAAATTATTTAAGTGAACAAATTATTTACCTTGTTACTTTTAAGGAAAACTTTCAGCGCTCTAATTTTTTTTTTTTTTTTTGTACTTAGCTTTCATTTTTACGTTTACGATGCTTTATGGAAAATATAAAGAAATTAAAAAATAAGACTGTTAATAGTGAGATTAAATTTCATAAGGAAAAGGTATCTAATTAATTTAGGTACCTTTCTTATGAAATTTTATCAGAAGTGTACATAAAATACTATAGTTTTATGTACATTTATTACATTTTACTGTGTTATTTGTATTTCCATTCATTTTATTATTAATTTTGATATTTCATTTATGGAAAAATGTCATAACTGAGATTAATATAAAAATAAGATCATATAAATTAAAGTTTAGCAGTAGTTAAATTTCATATGATGATACTGTTACTTGTAGGTACCCTTCTCAGTTGAAAGTGAAAACTCAAATTAACTTCTCCATACGTGTTTCGCAAAAGTAAAGGGCTTAACAGCGGAGAACAATGCTGGACTCAAATAATGCAACTAAATTGTATTCTGGTTGGTCTTCCGTACTTGATAATTACTGTCCGACTATAAACACAAAAATTACATTTCTTAATTACCATGGCTAATCTGATTGGTCCAAATTATACAATTTTCAAAGCGCTAGACAATGACAATCTCACACGGACATTTTGAAAGGTTGATGTTGCTTTTAACTAATGTTAAAATATTTTTTAAAATTCAATTTAAAATTTTTTTTAAAATCTTTTTAAAATTAAAGAAATAAGAAATAATTGTATTAAAAATTCAATTTTCATTGAAAAAATTTTTTGCTTTCAGAAAATATTGTCCATATTCATAAAAACAAATTAAAACAAATGAAAGCATTTGAAACTAAATAATATATTTGTTTTATTGAGTTTTGTATGTTACAATTCACAGCTGATTTTCAGGTACGTTGGCCAAAAAAAAAAAATCAAGAAAAAAACATGATTTGCATTCTTCAAAGCCTTGTTCTTTTAACTATTGTAATCACTAAAACCGATGGTCTCGAATTTCTAGAGTTTTTCATAAAATTAGTTATGGGGTGTTAATAAATATAAAAAAATATTTCTGCCATGACTTTAATAAAAAAAAAACATTTATAATAATTTCGATCATCTGTGAATAGTTTCTGAAAGTTTCATTAAGATCTGACAATTATTTTTATTTTTGCAAGATTTTCCAAATTAATGTGTGTAAATACAAAAAAAACGCGCTAAAATTATCTATGTTATTTACTACCCTTGTTGCGACAAAGAGAAACAAGGTTTTTAAATCAAAATTTAGACTATTCTAAAAAGATGGAAAAATTTTTTAAAAATAATTAAAAAAATTTAGTCTATCCTCTTCATAAAAAACATAAGCATTTTGACGATAAAATTTTGTTTTCATAAACTTTGGCGTCTTTTTTTCATCAGACTATGCTCTATGTTTTAGCGATTCCGTGGAGTGACTTAGGTTAAAAACCCAGGTTGTTTGTGTGTGTGTGTGTGTGTGTGTGTGTGTGTGTGTGTGTTTCCTTTATATATGGGATCGGATTTCTTACATTTTTCAGCCGATAAAACAAACATCCACTTTTTTTTCGGCAGGTAGTGTTTCTTATTGTCTTGCACACTTTTTTCTTTATTTACATTCAGAATGCTTTAAAAATTCCATTTACAAGACAATTGTTTCTAATAAAATTCTATTCACCAATCGATAGACTCATAACGATTGTAACCAATGTTTTTGTTTGAATTTGGGTTTGTCCAATTAAAAAAAAAAAAAAAAACTAATTAAGACATGCGTGTCCGTCAACCTTAAACAATAATCTTTGGCAATTTTATTTTTCAGTCTTTATGATGGTCGATACTTGATCTATCTCTTACTGTTACATCCCCGGGCAACGCCGGGCTCTACTGCTAGTATATGATAAAATACAGTTTCAAATATGCCATATTTAGCGGTAAATTGCTCAGTATCAGGACCAGAACGTGTACGAATATAAAAGTGTACACTGATATCGGCAGAGTGGCAACAGTCTGTTTCATGTTTGAACGCAATTTTCAGACCTGAAGATTGTGTTCAAGCATTATATATATATATATATATATATATATATATATATATATATATATATATATATATATTTGAAGTATTGAGGAAAATGACGAGAAATACGTGTTATATTTAACAAAACAAGATAAGGTATTTATTTACAAGTTTACACATTGAAAGTTGCCAGTAGCTTGTTTCAGGAAAAGGAATCAAATATTTAAAGTTCGGAGTTTCGATGAATTTTCAAAAAGAAAAAATGTTCATATTAATTTATCGGACACAAAGTAACATTCTAAAATGTTAAAAACAAATTGAGAGCGTTCCTTAGTCACATAAAAGTTATACGGTTGTATTGAACATGAAAGAAAAGATATATTTTAATTCACTTAGCTTCGGAATTGAATAATGTTCTTTGAAATTGCCCTGCTCTAAGTAATGAGGCTGATAATGTATCAGCGTATATTTTGACACCGGTGTTATTCAAACACGTGGAACTCGTGAATTTGAAAACTGTGAAGAAAAGAGCTGTTACGTGACATCTATTCTTCTTTACGGCAGCGAATGTTGGTCGATTTCCTTAAAGATGAAGAAGAGATTCGAGACAACGGAGATGTAGTTCTACAGAAGGATGCTAAGGATATCATGGACAGAGCGTGTGAGCAACGATGAGGTCTTAGAGAGGTTACAAAAGAGAAGGCTTATACTTAACATCAGAAAGAGGCAGCTGAAGTTTCTGGGACACAATGAGGAAGGAGGGTCTGGAGAATCTGATACTCACGGGTCGAATAGAGGGAAAGAGAGACAAGGGAAAACAATGCGTGACATACCTGGCGGGCTTAAGCAAGTGGATGAGGGAAGGTGGTCTAGGGGAGGAAGCAGAGGGAAAGAACTTGTTGAGAACTGCAAGGGATAGAGGGATGTGGAGATCCATGATCGCCTATCTCCTGAAAGGACATGGTACATAAAAAGAAAAAGAACCTTTCTTTTAAACATGTTTAGTTGAATATGAGAGACAAGGAAAATAGAATTAATCTTTTATTCCAGTACTCTTACTTTTTTTCGTTTGGTGGGAGTCAGGGAATGTAATAGTCTGTATTGTCCATTGTTCCAAGCCGTTTCAGCCAATTCTTTAACCATTTTCAAGTGGATTGTTTTAGGTGTTATTAATTTCTCTTCATCTTTGACTGTTTAAGATCCATTTTTATGTTGGGACAATAGACAATCAAACGGAAAAACGGGTAAGAATACTGTAAAAACTAAATAAAATTCTTACAATCTAAAAATATTTTCTGGCTTTAAATAACCTGCAATGGGTTGATAATCCATATAAAACGAATCAACCAATCAATCTTTTGATAGTAATCTTCAGCATGTGGTATTCTTTGTGGTAGACTTTAAAACAACTTTTTATACAAATCTGGACTTAATTTCAAATAAATCCCACAAAACTTTTAAAATTCGTGCTGCTTTGATAAGATCGAGTGTATATCTATGATTTATGTCTACTTATTTTATTATAAGTTATTATATTTATACTTATTTATTATGTATTATATTACTTATATTTACTTATATAGTCTTCATCTAATATCACTTTTTATTGATCTACATTTGTAATCTATTTACAGATATAAATATGTTTACCATTGAACTCAGCATCAAAGACGAAAATGTACATATTGCTTATTTACTCTTCAACACAATTGGCAGTGTTTTTCCATCGAATAAATGTTTACTGGAAATAGTGATGCTCACACAGGATCTGGATGTAAGGTAAACTCTATTTTGCTTTATTCAAATACAATTTGAATGACATTTTTAACGACTTTGGAACGGCAGTTTTTTCTTAATTTAGCAATGACAGATAGTATCAAGTGAAAGACTTCTTGTGCCTGGAGTTGCTGGCATATTGTAAAGCGAATACGGAAATAAACAATAAGATGGTTGCACGCGAACTGACAAAAAATATTTTTTGAGTTAGAAGATTCGGGCATCCTTCCAGGTTAATAAATAAATAGTTTGAAAATAAATATTTAACATTTTTTAACAAATGGGTAGCGTTCCCGCCAACAATAAAAACCTGCTTCGTGATCCCTTTGAAGAGTATTTAAGTCCCTGGACAGACAAAGCATTAAAGAAAAGTAGCGGTAACAGTTTCACGTCACCACGGCTTAAGAGGGATTCCCTTACTCATTCACCGATCTTCCGCGCCAAGCTACGTGACACGTACCTTCTTTCTGACCAAGCTACGCGACATTTGCACTCTTCTTCACTAAGTTACTTGACATTTACACCTTCCTCCTCACTTTCTGCCTTGCCTCTTTTTCACACATACACGCAGAGAAATCTCATTTATTTTCATCTTAAGCAACTACAAATAAGGAAATTTAGCACATGTACACGCTGAGAAAAAATATTTCTATATTTAAAAACCTTTGACGCCTTTTTCTTTGTTGGGGTTGATTCGAATTCTCAAAAATATACCAGAGATCAATTAGTCATGTAATGATTGACTAAATATCTCATGATCTTTTTGTTGTTATAGTGCCTGAAATGACAAATAAAATGACTCGTGAGAGTTTTCTTGGTCCGTGAGTAACTGACAGTAGAATTTTTTTTTTCATTTTGATTCTGATTAATAAAATCCCTCGTGAAAAATGTCTTGCTTCTAGAATAACTGACAACGTAATTCGCCAAAAAAAAAATATTCTGGTATATTGCTGTGCTGTCAATGAATCGGATAGTGATTCAAGAAAGTTAATATATATATATATATATATATATATATATATATATATATATATATATATATATATATATATATATACAAGTATAGGATTGGTGTATACGGAATAAATTCCAATAACCAACAATTACTATTCTTAGAAGAGTGCTCAATACAGAGTAGAGCAAATATAATTATTTATTCGAAAATTATAACATAAATATGTTATAAAATCACTACAAAAATAGCCATTTTGTTTCAACATCTCTGGTGTCTTATCAAGTGATGACATATTTATATAATTTTCGAATAAATAATTATATATATATATAAATATATATATATATATATATATATATATATATATATATATATATATATATATATATATTCATGAATTATTCACACAACAAACAAATGCAAAGGTTAATAATTTAATTGGCGAGAAATCCATCGTCGCAAACAATTCAAATAATATACAAAAACCTCCGAATCCGTTATGAATGAAAAGATCCTTGTTTCTATAAATTTCTGCCGCATTAGTTCTTATTTTTACTACAAGCTTTCGTCTGTTCCTACAGACATCTTCAGGTATGGAATAGATGTTGTTCTTGTTTTTCTCTCAGTAATAAGAGGACAACGAAAATATATGTATTGTTGTATCCGAAAATGCTATTGGAAATGAGTTAATGTTTTGGAGCGTGCAGTAGCAACGCTGAGTTTGATTTTAAATTTTTTACAGTTGTGCGTTCATGTACAAATATGGGGATAAACGAATTTTTTATTGGTAAATTTTCTGTCAAAGTGGCATGAACTATATTGTTCAATAATTACAGTAATGTCGCACTTATTATCCAAAAGTCGCACTTGGATCAGTTATTTTAATTTCGATAAACGTGCAATCAATTTACAAATTCATGAATTATTCACACAAAAAGCATTTTCGGATACAACATTTTTAAATTACAAGAAGTTTGTTTTTTTTGAGAAAATAATGATACAAGATTTACTAATTAATGCTTTCCCAACGGTATTTGCGGATAATTGAATATAATGAACCCAACTGGAATTGGAACTAGACAATTCCATGAAAATATCCATTACAGCCCACGCACATCCGAACTTACAGAACCTGGTATACCCAAGCGGTTACCCATCAAAGTAATGATCAAGCTCGACGTTGCTTAACTTCGGTGAGCGTAGGGGGGGACCGGTGTTTCAACGTGATGTGGCCGTAAGCCGGACACATTCTAATAAAAAGACGGACGAAGATATTCAACAGAAAATCAGTAGACATTCAAAAATTATCTCCATATCTTGAACATTAAAAAACAAAGAAAAAAAAAACTTATTCGTAACCCCCTCCCCTCTATCGCCGCCATCATCCTTGACACGGTGTCAGAAGCGACTATTTTCTTTTGGTTCTCCTTGATGTTGGCCATATTCACGATGGCGCTATTCAACGAATTCTTGTCATTATGGGCCCTAGTCACTTCCTGTAGCACCCCACGAGGTACTAGTGAGACATTCCCGTCTTGCTTGGGTGAAACGATTGAAAAAAAAATGTTATATCTGCTGTGTTTTTTTTCTTTTTAACAGAAATGAATCGAGAGAAATTCTTGTAAAATATGTCGCTCGCTTTAATGGTACTGGATTCTACTTGCCGCTTTCAACTGAAGAAACGATGCTCAAGCCTCTGTCTAATTATTCTGCTGAACTTTTTTACGCCCCGAGCACACCTATTGAACAAAAGCTACCCATTGTATCCAAGGTAAGTTCAATCATTTTGCCTTCTGCGATCAAATTTGTATCGAAAAATATTAGCTTCTTTTTTCGATGGTACGTTGTGCAATCGAGTGGTAAGTCTGTCGAAAGTACGGAGAAATAATGCTGTAACCGAGTCCCTGGAATGATGACTTGTGAAAGATAAACCTTCAAAAATTTAACATTTACGAGTATCCAAAGCCTGTTCGGAAAGGGTCCAGCTATTCCATATTAACGAGAAAAAAGGGATAATGGTGGAGAATGGCCATATAGTCCTTTCAAAGTACTGCCTTTGTAACGGCATATTTTTTACTTTTACTGTTACTAATTTTTTATCTTTTACAAAGCCAAGAGCCACTCAAGGTAGAGGGTTACTGAATTACGTTGTATGAGCATAAGAGAAGGAGGTAAGAAGTGCAGTTTATGAGGATATGTAGAATAGATAAAATTTAACCCTAGATTTGAAGAAGTTAAGATTTTAGTTAGATTGAATCAATTGCTGTATCTATTGCTAGGAAAATTGGTTGAACCTGTCGTGCTAGACAATCTTGTCAGAATCTATCTTAAACATTCATAAGTCTACCATTTGTCCTTGCATTGAATATTGCTGCTAAATCTGGTCTGGTGCTTCTGCTATATATTTAGAGATTCTTGAAAAAATGCAAAGAGAATCTGCAATGTTATTGGTCCTGACCTGACATCTCGGCTTTAGTTACTTTCTCGCCTTATAACTATTATAACTAATGTAAAAATTAGGCACTTCAAAAAAGAATTTCACGAAATTTCATACAATTAAATAAGTTGTAATTCAGGAGAAAGTGTGTTACTTTAAGTTGACTGCATTCACGACGATTTATATATATATATATATATACTGAAAGTTTGTATATATGGTAAATATTGCGTATGTGAGCGTAAAACAAAGATCGTAAGTATATGTGTGTATGAGAGAGAGGGGGAGGTTAAAATTGTGGTGATCAGGAAAGCATACACTCGGGAGTCTGTTATGAAGAAGCTGTCCAAATGAAAGTTCTTTCTTATTAATGGAATACGAAAGAAATGGGAAAGGTTCATCCCAATGTACGTGGCATGATGGGCCTTAGCTATAATGGGGTCTGATTTAGTGGAACTACAGATCGTCTGAACATTTGCCATGGAAATAGCGATAAAGTAGCGAGAAGCTTGTGACATTGTGTCTGTGGGAAAGGATTTTTAAACGGGGAAATAATCGCTCAGAGGACCGCGTGGGTGCTTTTGAACTCTATCAAGCCTGGAAAGTGAGGGCTCGGCAGCTACAATCTATGTCAGCAGTACACCATTTTTGGTCAGTTCTGGAATTTGTAAAGATATCGCTTATCAGAAGAAAGGTACTTACTGGAGCATTTTAAAAAACAATCCTTTTTTCAAGCAGTTTTAGGCTTACAGCCACATCATGTTCAAACATCGGTTCTCGTAATATCACCGAAATTAAGCAACGTCGAGTCTATATGGGTGACCCCTTGGGAATACCAGATCCTGTAAGCATGTGCGGGTTTTGAATGGATAACGGCTCGGAATTCGAAATTGGAGAACTGAGTTCTAATTTCAGTCAGGGTCGTTATATCTACTTATGCACAAATACCCCTGGGAAAGGTATGGATCGACCTTATTCCCCCACCCCAGCTATAGGTTAATTATGACTTGTATTAGTAAATCATTATCTTAAAACCTAAAAGTATTTCCTGGCTTTAAATAACCTGTAAAAGGTTGATAAGTCCTTAAAATCAAATCAATCATTTATGCCCAAATACCCTTGGGAAAGGTATGGATCGACCTTTTCTCATCCCCATCTATGGGTCAATTAATATGACTTGTACTAATAAATCATTATTATCTCCCCAAAATTCTTACAATCTAAAAATATTTCCTGGCTTTAAATAACCTGTAAAAGGTTGAAGAGTCGTAAAAAAAATCAATCAATCAATAAAGCACCTTTAGTGATGGAACGTATCTATGAGTCAGGTGTGATCGTGAGCACCAATAGGCGTTTCTATTCAAAATTCTGCACAGTTCTATTTCTTGAAATTTCTGCGTACATAATGAGGAAAGAGGGCTTGGAAAATGTGATACTCACAAGACAGATTGATGGCAAAAGGGACAGATGAAAACAACGCATAACATACTTGACGAGTTTGAGCAAATGGATGGCTGAACAGAGTTTAAGAAGACATAACAAAAATACATTTCTTAAAAGCTAATGAAGAACAGGAAAATGTGGAGAGACATCATCGCTTACATCCTTAAGGCACACGGCATATAGAAGAAGAAAGAAATATTATTAATATGATTGATATTATTTATAAGAGTGTTCAAAATTATTTAGGATTTCGGAGAAATATGAAAAAAAGACAAATTTTATTAAGAGTTGCAAAAGACATGAATCTGAGAGAACATGGCGCATAAAATTTTAATCTGTAGTGTAATGATCGCTAAAAACATCCCCCTTCCTCAAATTTACAGACAAATTCATGCATTCTGGGATTTCTTTCTAACCAATAAAAATGTATCACTTCTCAGTCTAATCCGCCTTGTTTTTGTGCTTGACTGTACCCTTTTTTACGTGTGAACACAATTCATAATTGCGAACTTTTTATCTTATTACTGTTGTTTTGCTTAGTTTCGTCTTGCATATTTATATATTGGTTCGTTACTATTATTTTACCGTTCTTTTTTCTTTCTTTTGTTATTGTTTATTCGTAACTTTGTCAATTCCTTTTTTTTAGAATAATTGGCCATGGTTAAGTGTAATTGGCAAAAATGCCAATTACACTTAACCATGGCCAATTATTCTAAAGGAACTCTCCGTCTGGCCTCTCTACCATCTAGATAGCCATAAACCCTTTTTATGTCACCGACTATACATCACGAAACGACTGTCCTTAGCTTCGAACGTTGTAACATTTTATCATTGAGAAGAAAATGCGGAGAATAATTTTTAGATGGCTTCATATTCTTATTTTGAATCTCTAGAACATGGCAATTCCTGATCTTATTTCACAAAAGAATTGTAATCCAGAGATAATAAAGAAAAGTAATCTTAGAAGAAACTCAGTCGCCCACGTTCTGAAGAGACTTGGCATTTTTTGAAAAATTCAATCACTACTCTTCCCCCAAATTGTCCTTAACAAAATTATGTAATCCTTTATTCGAAATTCTTGGGGACTAAAGTGTTTTAGTTTTGAATTTTTTTTCGGATTTTGAAATACAAGTTATTTAATTTGTATAGAGCATTTATAAAATAGGGCAGTTTGGGAATGGAACCCAAGCAGAAACACGTTATCCCTTTATATTTCATAACACAGCTTATACATATACCCTGAAGGTAGTTTTATATAAATAAAATATATCATGAAAATAGTTTTATATAAAATTGAATAAATTTTGTTTACATACAGATACAGGTAATGACGCTAGTCATGTAATGCTCACACGGATCTTTAAGTGGTGACATTAAGATTTCGAGTAAAAATAATGTTTTGTACTTTTGTGTACAAAACAATATGATCACTACTGACAAAAATATTTTTTGAAGTTTGAATAATATCTTTATTGAGCACGAAACACCTGGTAAATAATCCAAGTCCGAAGGTATTGCCGTGACGATCGCTCACAAAAAAACTAACGCCAACGTAGGCTGAATAGCTGGGCTTTTTGAAATTTACCATTTGTGGCAAATCATGCCAGCACCTTGAAAACCTTCAGCTATTGCAGGTTTTCGGATTTGGAAATTTCGGATAAGTGTTACTCAACCTGTATACCTACCCACTCTTTCTTTTCAATTAAATAAATTCTCGTAAATATCTCCCTCGCATTAATGGCACTAGATTTTTACTTGTTGCTTTCGATGAAAGAAACGATGCTCAAGCCTCAAACTAATTATTCTGTAGATTAATTGATTTATTCTTATGGCTGATAGAAGACCTAATATTTAACCCATGGCTTGGGGAGGGGAGGCAGATTCATACTTTTCTCAAGGGTATTTGTGCATAAGTGAATATAACGAACCTGACTGGAATTCGAACTCTGTCCTCTTTCTAACCCGTGAATTCAGAATAGACATGTAGCATAAGTATTATCGTACATCAAACTTCAGGAAAAAACATGAATCCATCTCGTCTTTCTCCTTCTCCCTAGCTATGGGTTAAATAGTAGACTGTGCTCTTTAGGTTTGGGTGACAGCTAGTCCAGGAAAAGGCCAAATCTGAATTGAAAAACCGTGGGGAAATAAATAGGCACCCACTCCACTATCTTTTCCAAGGGGTGATGGCAATTCGGGGATAGTATAGAAAAGAAATCTGCGAAGATCCATGATATCCAACATTTTGAAGCATTTTTTATTTAATTCAATCTGTAGCCTTCCAAACAAAGTGTGTCGGTAACTTTTGCATGTTCTTAATAATCGGCTATCTTATCGGTATTGACATGGCATCTCGGCTTCAATCACATTCCTCCGCCGTAACCTAGCCTTCTTTTGGCACTTCTATAAATATTTTCATGGTAATTATTCTGATGAGCTTTCCCCTTTGGTAATATTCATTGGGACTAGTTTTTTAGAATTGTTGTTTTATTCCCCTCTCCCCACAGACAATGAATTGTAAATATGATGACTAGTTAGTATTTTCATAGAGACAAAGAGGTATTATGGTGATTGTAGTAAAAAAGGTACGTATGAATGTGTTGTATTGGTGTAAGGAATATTGTTTGTGCGATTGGGTCAGCGTTTGTGGCTAGCTAAGTTATAGTTAAGACAGAAGAAGACCGTCCTTTCCCCAATCCCCACTTCAGCCATGTGCCACATTTCTGTATTAAACAGAATAGATATCGCTTTCCCTTTTGGTATCTCGAATTTACGAATTTAAGCGCAGTACTAGATTAGTAGTTAGGTTTCATAATTTCACAGTTGAAATTGCTATTTGAAACCACAAGTTTTATGCTATTTTCTTCTCCCTCATTTTCTTGTGGCTCTCTCCTCTGACGTCTCGCTTTCCTGTTAATTATGATTCTCAAAAAGTCAAATGCAATGTCAATCGTCATCTTTTATCTTCTTGAATCCTGTTCTTGTCTTTCTCTGTTTCTTTGACTCTCAGTAACCCGTCGTATCTTAGTCGCTTTTATTGCCTTGTTTGGGGTGAAATGATAAAAAAGAACAATAATGACATCTTTCTCCTCCCATCTTCCTTAGAAAGAAGTTGGAAAAAACAACTTTCTGAAAGTGACAACGAAAGAGTAAATGTGAAACTTAGAGAGAAGTGTGTCACTAGTTTGATTGAAACGATAGCAATACACAGATTTCTATTATCCGCGGTTTCCTGTTACTCGAGGAAAACGCTAGAAACAAACAATCGATAAAGATTTAAAACGTGTCACAAAGTGCAAGTGCAATTTAGATATGCCAAAGAGAATACTTAATGTGCTTCCCTTTAAGTGAAATGGTGAAATTTTTCACTTAATAACGAAAATTGTATGTTGAGGTCGCTAAGAACTAGAGTAAGAACGAAGTTCTTTAACATTTATTACAGTATATTGTCATAATTATTCTATTTTATTATAAGTAACTGTTGTTAATATCGTATGGGGCCTAATAAGATCTACGGTAAGAACGAATCTCCGAACCGTGACATAACTTTTATTACAGTATATTATTATAATTATTCTTTTTTATTATGAGTAATTGTTCTTAATATCGTATTGGACCTAATAAGATCTACGGTAAGAACGATTCTCCGAACCGTGACATAACTTTTATTACAGTATATTGTCATAATTATTCTTTTTTATTATGAGTAATTGTTCTTAATATCGTATTGGACCTAATAAGATCTACGGTAAGAACGATTCTCCGAACCGTGACATAACTTTTATTACAGTATATTGTCATAATTATTCTTTTTTATTATGAGTAATTGTTCTTAATATCGTATTGGACCTAATAAGATCTACGGTAAGAACGATTCTCCGAACCGTGACATAACTTTTATTTACAGTATATTGCTCGAATTGACTTCTTTATTATTTATTGTCCCTAAATCTCAGTGTGCCTAATTTCTAAATTAAAATTTACCATAGATATATATGTACACAAAAATAAAATGCTATCTCTATTCATTAACATTATCGAACAAAAAATTGTTTGAAATTATTTTTTTTCATGTTTCTTGCATCTTTCCGGCATATTGAAGAGATGACTACAATCTTTTCATATCATCAATATTTTATCAGTTATATATAGAATAAGTTTCTGTTTTTTGTAACTTTATTAATATCACTATGGAATCCTCCATAATTGCCTTTCACCCCCTACGGAAAGATGCACTATTCCCCAAATTAACTTTTAACCAATCCTCACTTCACTTTTCAAAACTCAACTTCCCATTGGTTAAAAGGACTCAAAAAATGTAGCAAGTTGAGACAATTTTTTTCCAGCGCAGCTGTCTGGAGCCTATTTGAAAACCCAAAAATCTATAATAAAAAAAAGAATCGCTCGACTTAATTCAAGTCAGTCAGACACTGAGTTTCGAGAGATGTCAGCAGATTCCACGCGTGCCAATACACTGACTCAATACACTACCAGCCTCTCATCAACTCAACACAACTCGCACTACTATTGCCTCGTGAAGAAACTTAACTTACAATTTACTAAAAAAGTGACATTATCACTACGATATAGTAATTGTACATTTAATCAACTTTAGCATATCAGCCAAAGGCACACAACTCTTCCTAACTTGAATCAACATTTACAATTGTCACACACATACACACTATTATTTGAACTCACACAATTGACATTTTACCTTGCAGAAATCAAACTGTTTTAATTTAACTTAAACCATCAACATTCATTCACCAAATCTCTGAATGGACACTCTTTGCAATCTTATCTCACTTGCCACGTTTAACAAGCAACCTATCATCACTTTGTGTATGTCAAATATATATATAAATTCATGTTATTGTTGAAATCTATAACTGCGTTGTTTTAGCCTTGATTTCTTCAAGTTGTATTAACTTCATATGTTCGTTTAATTTATTTGTTGTGGATAAATGCATGATGTACACGCACATTTTAGGCCTTCACACAATTACACCTTCTGACACATCTTACTTAGCATAAATTCTGCAACATCACATGTGTTTTTCCTTTGGTTATATTTCATTAAACATTAAACTAGGCTTTGTAAAACAATTCGTTACAGTATTAGTTTGCAATGGTAGAAGCGTATGCCGGAATGCCATCAATGTTTGTAGAAAGCTACTATTCGTCTGTTTGTTGCATCGGAAACTCTGTAGATGGAAATGGCAAAAGTAGAAAAAAAGTGCTTGGAATGCATTCAAGAATGGCACCAGTGGATTTCTGGCTAATATCAAAACGGAGTATTCGAAGGTTCTTATGAAAGAACTGCCTGAAAATGACTAAAGTTCAGTGAGAAATATACCACTCACGCTTGTACAATTGAAGCACACAGTAGGAATATTTCCAACAAGATGTTGGTGCTGTATCGGAAGAGTGAACAATTTCTGAGTAATTATTTTCCACCCTACAACTCCTTTCCTCACAGACCAAATGTTGCGAACCTCTAGCTGCTCCATCGCTAATTCTATGCCACGTGTTCTGACGATCTACATTCTTTAATCCCACCACCCCCGACCTAAACAACTGGGACCCTCGAATTCCATCGGCGAGAAGTAAGGTTCCACTCAAACAGCCTCTTCCCCCGAATCAATGCCTTGTGGAACAGATTTCCAAGAGAATGTTTACCTGATCACTACAATCTAAACCTGTTCAAGTCTAGAGTCAACCGTTATCTTCCCCTCCTAACAATATAAACTACCCATTATCATAACCCTCTATCTCGAGTGGCTCCTGAAAACTTGCACAGGGTGAACTTTACTGTAGAAAAATCTCCATTCCTTTCGTATTTCTATAGTAAGAAGTAAGTGCCATTCCCAAGAACTGCTGCTTTGTGGAATCGCTACAATCTTGACTTCTTCAAGTCTAGGATTAACCATTTCCACATAGCCCCAAGAACTTCACTTCTTGCCCTTTCTTACACTCATACAAAACTACACAGTAACCCTCTACCTTGAGTGCTTCTTGAGCCTCGAATGGGGTGAGCATTAATATTTCATTCCGAGTATGACGATAAATTACATCTGGTACACTCCTTGTTAAGGCAGTGGAGAACTTGGAGAGGGAAATTAACAGGAGATAACTGATAAGTGACATCCATTAAACATGGCACGTGCGAAATAAAGGGTTCAGTTCGACATTCCAATCACCTGAAGTAGGCCGAAGCGTACAACGGCCGAGACGTTGTAATAAATATGGCGACAAAGATGAGGACAATAGTCCGAATAATGTAAATAGTGTGCATAATACCTCAGACAAAAAATATAGACAAAATTTCTGTAGTTGAAAGCATAAAATTACATACAATATATTTAGATTTCGGCATTAAATAATCCATAGAGGTGTTGATATGCCGCTAAACAAAATCAACTTAACAACTCGGACCTCGCTAAGGTGGCCCCGATTTTGTATCCTTCGTTGAATGCGTAATGAGTTTTGTTCTTTTCAGATCAACATTTTTTTCTCAATGGCCTTCTGAAAATAATTTTTCTTGCTCTGTGAATAGTTATTGAATCTCTGGTATATGTCTTCTTCTTCTTTTTTTAAAAATTCAAACCGTGTATTAATAAGACACGCTCAATAATTTTGTATGGTTTTCCAATTGCAGAGTATTTCTCGTTTGGTGGTCATCATCATTGGTTCCTGTGCCCTGTTCGTCATTTTCACGCTACTTATGCTGGGAATGTACTTCCTGTGTCAAATTAAGTGAGTCAATTTTCTTTAATCTTTCCCGATGTGACTACATTTTAACATATTGTTGGGTAAAAAAAAATTCAGAAAAGTCAATGATTTTTGTAACAAATAATTAGAACAGGGGTGGGTAAATTTTTTTCTTGGCGGGCCGTATCATATTTCATCCTGTGTAAAGTAGTGACTGGCCGCTCGTATGCCTATTTGCTACACAGAAAAGAAAAAGTGCCTCCATGACACGGATGTCTATTTGGTTTTGGAGGCACGGTGGGATAATGGATAGGTTCGGATTGAGGAATCGGAGAGCCGAGTTCGAATTCTAGTCGAATCTATTACATTCACTTACGTGCTAATTGCCTTGGGAAAGATATGAATCCTCCTCTTCTCCCTCCAGCTATGGGTAAATAGCAGGACAGATTGGTTTCTATAGCATTGGATGACAATGGGTCTACCGCAAAAAGAAATGACAACCTACTGCGGGAAAAAAATCTGCCTCGTCAGTCATGTATGGAAAGATACATGATCGTCTAAGCGTATATCACGCATGACATATAAATAATAAAATAACTAACTAATTTGGTTTTCATTCAAATTAGGTATGTGTGCGTATATATATATATATATATAATTCAATGATTGGCCTAAAATATTTCTGCAATTATTTTTAAAAACACATTTTTATTTATTACCAGATAATTTACAAAAATATCAATAAAACCTTATAATCATTTGAATTATTTTTAGGGTTTAAAAAATAACGTCTAATTTTGTCTACAAATTTATGATTTTATGGCTCAGCCCAGGGTATTGGCTGTCCAGACTGAGTAAGTGAGCAATATATTATTCCAATGTCTTGTTTCAAATTAAATGTGTATATGCGTGTGCATGTGTTTGTGGTGTGTAGATTACATGGCCAAATCGAATGTAAGAAACTCATGCACAGAATGTCCACTCGTATTTGAATATACCTGTTTACTGTGATGGCCAGCCAATCCTTGTTGCAGACGCCTTGTTCAGTCACACTTGTGTTAATTCAGCCTCCATAGAGCCCACCTGTGGATTGTACAGTATCTATGCTGAACGGTTCTTAGCTGCAGTTTGTGGGAGAGAGTCCATTATCTGGCGTGATCAACAGTTTGAACAAGGCCAGTGCACTAAAACCCTCAGTCACGATTTGTACCTTAGTGGTAGCACAACCCTCGATGGCTCCCAAATAGTTCCGTTTACCTAATTTCACTCACAAAGCTTGAGCTAATCCGGGGTGTGGTTTTCAGGTCGATAAGAAGTCACCTTCCGGAGAAATCAGGTCTCATGGTCGAACATCGAATGTTCTAATCACTCGGCCACGTAAATAGTAAAGAAAGATTGGCCACATGTGCATCTGTTAATAGGCCACACTACACCATGTTTCACACGCAAACTCACTCTACGCCTTTCTGACCATAGCTCAAATAGATCTCATTTAAATATTCATGGAGACCTACCGGACACTATTCGTAACATGCTTGTTGACAACACTAATATAATAACATCATCTACAAAAGGCTAAAAATAATGGAAGCCTTATTAATAAAAACAAAAAAACAACACTTAATAATATTAACTTTGAACATGGACATAATATCTTGACCGTGTTTTGAAAAATGAAAACATTTTATAAAACATACAAGCAACAAATTATTTCATATTTAACAGTTAAAATATGTAATCCTTGTAATGGCTAAATGTATAGCCGAAAGCGCTCGGATAAAAAGAACTTTCGGACAGTTTTTATATAATTTATCATCAGAAAAGAAAAAAAAATTATTAGATCGCATGAGAAATTGTATAAAAAACTAAGTAAAAGCACCTTGTCTGCCGTATTCAATGAAATTTGCATGAAAGAAAGATTGCTGGCTAAATACACAAATCTGTTAATATGTAGATATAATATATATACATCATGTAGATATAATATATATACATCATGTAGATATAATAGATATACACCATGTAGATATATTAGATATACACCATGTAGATATATTAGATATACACCATGTAGATATAATAGATATACACCATGTAGATATAAAAGATATACACCATGTAGATATAATAGATATACACCATGTAGATATATTAGATATACATCATGTAGATATATTAGATATACACCATGTAGATATATTAGATATACATCATGTAGATATATTAGATATACACCATGTAGATATATTAGATATACATCATGTAGATATATTAGATATACACCATGTAGATATATTAGATATACATCATGTAGATATATTAGATATACATCATGTAGATATATTAGATATACATCATGTAGATATAATAGGCCGGCTAAAGAAATTTGAGAGATAAAAAAATCAGCAAAAATAATAACATTGATGTGAAGACTAATAATATTTATTGTATATTAGTAGATGATAGATACTATTGTATATTAGTAGACAATATTCACACATTCTAGAATTAAACAGGAATTTAGGCTTACCCAAAGAATACAGTTTCTACAGAAAGCCTTCTGCAAAGCCTCTACAACCTTAATCATGACAGACAGCTACTCTATAACTATCAGATCTCTTAGATAACACACACGGGGGGACAAAAACAAATTCTAAATTTTAAAGTTTTCTCATCATGGTTCAATTTGGTCCAAAAAATCTACAATAAATATTATTAGTCTTATTAACAATATTATTATTTTTGTTGTTTTTTATCTTTCGAATTTCTTTCACCAGCCTAATATATATATATATATATATATATATATATATATATATATATATATATATATTATATATATTGTGTGTATTTAGGCAGCATCTTTTCATTCATACACGTTTCATTAAATAATATAGACAAGTATGTAAATTTTTTCATATCGTCTGATAAGTTTAATAAGATTATCATTGAACGAAGAAAGAAATTCACAATATTGATCCATATTTTTTAATACAATAAGCTTTCGGCTTACATAAGCCATTATCAAAGATGTCAATTACAACATATTAAGCAATATACGGACAACACAGTGATGATAGTCTGTGATTGTTTACATAGATGATTATTAAGCAACGATAAACACGCGCATATAAGACGTGAGTGGTCATGTGTGACGTCATGAGATGCGATGCGCTAGCATGAAACAGCCTGTCGCCACTGAGTATTGACTTCAATGTTCACTTTTATATATATATATATATATGTGTGTGTGTGTGTGTGTGTGTGTGTGTGTGTGTGTGTGTGTGGCAGTATAGTATAGAACAGTATAGTATAGTATAGTGTTAAATGCCAGAGTTGCTGGTTCTTTTTCCAGTTGGAATTTTTGTTTTAGCTGTGTATTTGAATTTTGTTTTAGCTGTGTATTTAAAACCCAGTAATTTTAAAAGTTACTCCAAAATTCGCTTGAGGATGAAATGGAACTAATGTCTTTAATTTAATTACAAAATTAAATTCGGGACTTTTAGCTTCCATTTTTGAAACATGGTTAGAACTGTGTAGCGGAAAAAACATATTTTAAATCAATTAATTTATAATATTAATGCTCTGTAATCGAGCACTATTTTGTAAAAATAAAAATATCTATAAGAACACCGGATTATATATCTTACTGTTCTTTCTTTATATATATATATATATATATATATATATATATATATATATAAAAATGAAGACAAAAGGAAAACTTTATAAAGTAAATGCAACGATTTTATTTTGTAACAAGTATTTTTATACAAGAGCAAAAACATTATTGGTTTTTCAACATTTTCAAATTTAAGAACCCTCATACATGTTCATACACATAGAAAATTCTCCGCAACCAATAACATTTTTGCTCTTGTATATAAATAACTGTTATAAAATAAAATCCTTGCATTTGTCTTTATAAAGTACCTCAGAGATCAAAACGCCTCGGCTGTGATAAGTTTTTCTTTAGTCTTTATTCATATTGTCCTTTTACAGATATATTCTATCTGGAATTTTATGTATATATATATATATATATATATATATATATATATATATATATATATATATAATGAAAATAAATGAAATGAATCAAAAAAAAAAAAAAAAAAATTCAGTCACGCGTTTCGTTTCAAGAAAGGACTTCTTCAGTCAAATAATGGGTTTATTGATAGAATCAATTTTATATATAAAAATGGGGAAGAGAAAGAAATACAACAGATGTCAGTTACAGTTTACGGTACAGAAACTCTCAAATTTGAATTTAAATTTAGCCTGAAGAATTTAATATTACGCGCTAAATTATGATTATAATAATATTTTCGTCTTTTATCAAATATCGATTGGCTATCACGAGAGACACAATGAAACGGAACAGGGGATATGCAAGCCAAGCCCAAATTCTGGTTGTTCGTGCCATTTTCAAACTGACACACCTTGAAAATGCCTGAACCCTATCTACAGAGATTTCCAGGTGGCAACCACAGATGGATTCCCGCTTGAAATACAGAGCCAGATTCTGACAGAGCCCTCACCGTGTTTTCCAGATAGCTCGAAATGAAAGGTGGGCAAACCTTTTTTTCAGTGAGGGCTCATTATTTTAGGCCCTGTCTCAATAACATAAGATTCACAACATTATAAGTAACAGAAGTCTTATGTGATTTCTATATTTATTTGCTTCAACATTTGTTTGTGCCAACACTTTGTGAACAGAGTACAAAATGGATAAGTATTTGGTTGTTTTTTCTTAAATATTAATGAGATTTCTGCAGATTATGAAAAAATCTTTTACATTAATATGAAATTCTCGATAAATCCCGTGAGACGTTTATAGTGAAACGTTCAAATAATGCTATATGTTTCCCTCTTGTTGGATTACTCATCAGGCATCTAGATCCATAAGTAAGTTTACATTGTGCCGAGGATTGGGCAGTGACATCACTACAGTGCAGGACGTAACAATCCAGTTGTCAGTGACAGTACATAACACGATCTATCGATTTTGTAGGAAATGAGTTTCCTGAGAACTGGAGTTCGCACTTA